AGTAAGCTAGATCCGGTTGCGACAACGAGGTCAACCAACTTCTATGGAAGTAAGATTGCCAAATAATGTACCGATTACAGCCGGACAAAGAAGACAATTTGTGGTGCTAAGAATGACAAGGCTCACTGACGATGCCGACTACGATGCCGACGAAACGTCTGAGAATGTACCAAATCCACAGTCCGAATTTGGAAATGATCATGCATACAATGGACTGCGGACTATGTGCGTTTCTCTAGTTCTTCCTGCCAACATGACCAAGCTGCCAAAACAAGGTCAAATAACTTCAGAAGATAATCTCGTTTGACCTTGTTTTCGCAACCTGGTCATATTGGCAGGAAGACCTAGATGAACTCACCTTGTCCGGAGCCCATAGTTTGCATTTCCAGAGTCGGACTGTGGATTTCGTACATTTTCGGACGTTATGCAGTGATGGAAAATGCTATTCGGCTGCACCAGAGTCTGTCGAAAGATGGTCTTTAGTTCACGCTGCCCTTTTTTTGACCGTCTCGTGCCACAGTTCCCGCGCAACCGTTGTGGTGCAGGGAGAAACAAACATGTCTATAGGAAGACTGAATTCAGCACACAAACGCAAACATATGCACATATTTACACTCTCCACAAGACAGACGGGCAGATTTGGACCAACTCAATCCCACTTTGAAAGGCGGTTTAAATGAGTTCATAAATTAGCCTCATCGGAAACCGAATGAGTCGGCGTTGTTGAATTGCGTGAAGAAGTCCTTGACACATTGTCCTGTGACACTGATCAACGCGATAGGAGATTTCGTTCATTCTGTTGTAACACTCATCATCAGAGCCAAAAAGTATTATATATGAAAATTCAGCAAATCGAAATTTACCAAGAAATAAGAGATTCATTTACCCAATCTTGTTTAAGGTGAGGAAGGACTCGGAGTTGAGTTTTGCCACAATGATCTGAGTAGAGCTGACGCTTCCATTGAATTTCGCATAGCCTTGATTTCCCAAAAGGTGTCCTCAGCCAGGCTGAAGTGGACTGCAGTTCCTACCTCGCCTAGGTCCAACCAACAACCCCAACGGGATTCGAACCATGATAGTATAGCCTGTAATCTCCACACATCAACCACTCCACCGCATTGCCACGAGTGCCGTTGGGTCACAGGGCAAATATGAATGTCATATTTCGATCAACTCTCGCTCTGACGGTGTTCGCCTCACGATAGATTTATCGGAATCGCAGGAATGCGAGCCGAGATCTTCTTCGAACTATCACGAAATAACTTTTCCAAGAGCCCCATTCGATTTTCGGTGAGTCCAAGTTGCCATTCCTTTTCATTGCCTCCTCAAATGAAACGAAAGTTACGCCGACATTATGCCATCCGAAACATGTGCTCCAAGCCAAGTGGTCCTCTCTGAGTCTCTGGCCACTTTTCCTATTCACTATTTTGCTTAGTAAGCTGATCTAGTGACAGAGACGTTGTGGGGCCATCTAGGAAGAGGTGGAGATACAATAAGTCGGCGAAATGAACAATTTTACATTCGTTTCACACTCATATTAGGCTCCTCAACTAAACATTACGATACATTATGGTTTGTGCACTCAGAGTCATCGAGCCTTGAGGTGCCTGGATTGATACTCCACTTTGTTTTAATTACTGGCAGTCTTGTACACTGTGGCTTACATAAATGTATACACACAAGCACACTATACACACACACACACACACAAAGTCAAACATAAAGTGCTTATATGATATATATTTTACATATTTCGTTTAAGGTAATGCAGGACTGGTAGTTGGCCTACCGGTAGTCTTGAAAGCGTACTTATAAACGAAAAATAAGTAATATACTTGATTGTTATAGCGGATACAGAATTTCCAAAGGCTCTCATGCAAGTGTGGCGTAGTGGTTGACGTGATGAGACAATAGGTTGCAACATCACAATCCAGGTTTGAGTCTCACTGCAAGTGCTGATGAGACCAGTCTAAGCTAAGTCTTTATTGAAGTCCACTCCAGGCGAGATCAGAATACCTTTTTGGAAGAAGGACCATGTAGAATGCAATGGTCTATTCATAGGATTTTTGGAAAATTCAACTACCAATCTTTCATCACCTAAAATAAAATATGATAAATGCATCTCATATATGGTGATCTACTGCTAGTCTCAAAAAGTTACTTATAGACGAACACTGGAGTACTTATATTCCAGACTATATTTCTCATAAATTATTCCTTATCTGTGTAACTAGTTTATATATTCGCCGTAGTTTTTTTTCTATATATTAGCCTTTTTCTCCCGTTTTTGTAATACTTTCCTAAATTTATATTATTATATATATTGGGTATATTAGTTCTAGATGTTTTCAATTCCATTTTAGTATTTGTCGTGGGTATAATATAGCATGTATATGATAGAGCCAGATAATGTTCTTGACTTAGAGTTTATCTTACTCGCAGGAAGATGTCTCGCGGACTATGGATTTCTTCTTCACGTACCTTGACACGAAAGCAAAGTCACCTCAGCGCTAGACTCATCGAAACCCATTTACACCTTCTATCCCATTGAGCTACTTGCTAATTTGCTCGTCAATCTAATTAATGGAAAACAAATTGTGCTAAGTGATAATTTCATTTTTCGTCTTATCAGACATTTCTTGAAGATAATGCTATAATAAAAGCGAACATTTACTTTTGGAACAGCAAAATCGAGCAAGATTCAAGCCCTCTTTTGGAGCACTTTTTTGTAAATGCTGGAATTGGGTATCAAAACTTAATCCGCCTAGGCCGTTTAGGTTGATTTAAGAACAGTATTATGAGTAGGCCTCACGATGCCCTTGAAGTTCACTTTGCCTCAGAAAGAGTTTTTTCTTCCCCTTTGGACTACCGTTTCGACTTCTTCCCAGAGTCTAATCAGAAGCCATAAAGGGATTCGAAACCGGTTCATGTGAATCGTAGTGAGAGGTTATGAATAGGCCAGACAACCCAAAGTTTCGAAACATATTTACATGCAATTAAGAAATCCGCATCGGTGGGTTCTCTGCATTTGGTGATGGAAAAAAGGATTGAGTTGAAAATTAGAAGCAGGTGTTAAGGGGATCAGGAGGAATACCTTGGCAAATGTGGTAAGTAAGAAGGGGAAATCAACACATTCAGTTCTGGTATTTGCAAGATGTGACCCTCTCTCTGTACCAATTGTGTGGAGGAGATGCGTCAAGCAATGCGAAGGAGGCCTATTTCAGAGTCACATCTTGCCGAGGTGGCAAAGCAAATGACGATAGTAAAGCTTCAAGATGCGCGTTTTGCCGGCTGCCATGAAGCCAGCAAGCAACGGATCACAATTGTGACTCTAGCCAGTAGCTCAGCTCGGCACACCCACACACAAGATGACAGACAGAGTTTACAATTCACGCTAATTAGACCGGGTGCGGAAGTTCGTGTGGAAGTAGACAGCAAGAGGGCTGTATGTTGCGAAGCCGCCATATATCGTGGCGACGAAAAGCCCGGACGTGTTGTGGTGTCTACGAGACTCTTACGATGCCCGTTAGAGCAGGATTTTAGGACAAAATAAAAATGATCCTCAGATAAGCATAATAATAAGCTGTACCAAGTAATGTTAAGTTCATGTTACATGCTATTTAATATGAAATGAAGGTCTCTCCAACAGTGTTATCTCAG